AGCTTTTAAGGTCCTGATGCAGACCATGATGAGAAATGAACTCTCAGGCTGAGCCACAAGGCGCTGCTGGTGTCTGATAACCTTCTTTAAGCAGGTGCTCTGGGCAGGAGACAAGCTGAGTTGGACGGTAGGCGTGTCTTCCTGCCAGGTCAGTGTAAGCAGCCAGCGATTTTAAACTCGCTGTGCACTGTTGCTGTCTGCTACTGTGGACACAGCGAGCCTCATGGAAAGGTGGAACTCTACCTTCCTGATTTTGTGGTGCATTTTCCATGGTGCTACCGAGGATCCAGCCCCGGGCCTGGAGGCTCCGAGCTGGGGCTACAGAAACACCTGGGGTCGCTAGCACCACCCCTCCGTGTCCTGGGCATGCAGAAGGAGCCAGGCATGGCTGTCTCGGCCGTGTGAGAGATCTGTGAGGTTTTCTGTCCCCTGGGCAGCCGCGTAGCCTGGGGTTCTATTCATAATAAGAGAAGCAAATCCTTGTGAGTCTCACCATGCTTTTTAGCTGTAGCGATGATGGATTTATCTTCTGTGTGTAGGGCAAGCTGTGTAAAGTCACTCGTGTTATTTAAATGATGTACTGTACTGCTGTTTACACGGGTGTCGTGTGGGGCTGGCAGTGCCTCGCGTCAGGGACTGGGGGTGATGGGGTTATTTTTTCATGGGGTGGTGTAGGGCGTGTAAGGTGCTGCTCGCTGTGAGACTTGGGGCACTGCAGACTACCTGAGGGTGGAGGAAGCACCCCCAGTTAGGACAGCCACTCAGCAGAGTGGGCTCGGGTCCCAGCACGTTGTCTCAGTGTTTCCTTTCAGCAGGCCATGATCGGAAAACTTTGGCACACCCTGTACATGACTGTATGAAATTTTTTCATTAAAAAATGTTGAAAGATTTAAAAAAAAAAAAAACTAATTAGATCAATCACGACATGTGAGCCCAAATGACATAGTCAGCAATACCATAGCATCAAGCACAGCTTAGAAAATGACAATTTGTGGCAGTTATTAATCTATCACTTTTAACTATGTGAGTTAAATTAAAACCAAGGACCAACCCAA